GTAGGTTCCTGTCATTTCTGGACAAGAGTCCTGGCTAATACAGAGCTGACGTTAAGTTTTGTTTTGTAATGTCTAAAATATTATCTTCAACCATAAGCAGAAAAGTCTACTGGAAAAGAAATACCTTGAGGCACCATTCTCCAGAAGAGCAAAATCTAAGATATATGAGGTTACAGAGAAGAAAGGCCTCAAAGATAACATACTGAGCAGGATCTTACCATCTGAATTAGGTACAAATCCCTTACCCATTCTATACCACAGAGGCACCCATAAATAAAGATAATACCTGAACTATCTTATGGAAAGTATGAAATAAGGTTCATAAAGTACTCTGAGCAACTGGAAAACAGTATTTTTTAAAATCGAACGTATATAATGTATCACATTTAGGCTCAGTGAATTTAGACAAATTTCTTAATATTCCTATTGCTCAATTCCTTTTCCTGTAAAATGGGAGTCATAATACCTTTAAGGGGTTGTTGATAGAATATTAGCAATCATATATATGTGAAGCTGGGAGATCATGACTCAACTGAAGATGATACTGCCAGACAAGGAGAGACTGCCAACTACCCAGGCATCTTTGCAGGGGTTGACAGACATTTTGAAAAGGGAGCTTGTGTGGGGGAAGTTTTCTGCAGAGATTGTGGGCTTGTATGCTGGGGGAAGAGACAGGAGAGCTGAGCTCAACGAGAGATGCTGTGGTAGTTGGTCCCGACCCCAGCCCTATGGACCAGCCCCTGTGAGAGGAGAGACAGGGATCCTGTGCTCTGTGAACACAGCACTATTTCGGCAACTTAGGAGTTTCACACTTTGGGACCATCTAAGCAGGGCAGCGTTCTCCTACAGGAACAGCGGCAGCTACACAGTGGAGCCCAACAGAAGCCTGCGGGGAGCAAGATGCACCCAAGAGTTAAGTTTGTTGGTGAGTCAGTGAGGAATCCCTAGAACTTCCAAAAATACTTGAGGGGTCTGTGGTCCTGCCTGATGTGATGGAATCCTGAGTCAGCAAAATTTGGGTGTAAAAGTGACTCTATTCATAAGAAGACAGTGTTGATCCTTGAATAGTTAGGTTCCATATGTAACAAGATTTGGCACCAAAATATGGGCCCAATAAATGGCTTTAAGATATCATCCTAAGATATTCCTCTGTAGAATTCTAACCACACCTCAAATTAGCCAGGTGGACGGTACAGAGCTTTGAGGACGAGGTTGCATGATTGCCTCTGTGTTGGTTAAAAGCAACATTAATGGATTAAGCATTTAGACTTGCTGAGAGTAGAATAGTTTACCAACTTAGATGTGCCCTCACCTCGTTCTGTCAAGAAGCTGAGGGAGCTCAGCAAAATTATCTGTCCCCAGGGCACCTCTATGCATCAATTTTCAGGTAAATATTAATGTACTTTGACTCACAATAGCATCATCTACATTTTACATGACCAAGTTGAATTTTTTCTGGAATCAAAAAAAAGCATCCAATATTGTATAACAGCTTTTGTGCCATTCTAATATTCTGTTATCAAACATACCACTAATGACCAAAAAGTGTACTTACATAAACCTCATGGGGCAGGAATTACAAATTCATGTTGCATGGGTTTTAAAAGTTCATAAATTTAGTAACCAAGTAACCAAAATACTACAACGAAGGAAACAAGAGTCTCATCCTGAAGGTTCTTTTTCAAGGAAAATTTCGACTTGCTCATCATTTTCCAAGTCTTCCCTGAATAACGGTGCTGACACTTAGCGAGTTTTCTAACACACTACATGAGTCACAGTGGCACCCCAAGATGTACCCCTTACGTGAGGAGAACTGGACTTTATGAGGAGTGTCATAAAGTTTGCCTTAGGAAGCATTTGTGCTTGTGAAGCCCCACGTGGATTGCTCCAGGAGCAGCTGAGCTCCACCATCTGCATGGATGTATAGACCACAGGAGTTGCTTCTCTTCTCGAAGCCCTTGCAGTTTACCAGTTCTTGGCAGTAGCATCGTGACTTCTATGATGGCAATCTACTGGATGAGTGCAATGTTAGAATTGTTGTCACTGATTCTTCCTGTTTTGTTTTCTTCCTGCATTAAAGACTTAATAACATAAACACTGAGGATCACATGTTGTTCATGAGCTTTTGTCTTCAGTGTATACTGGGTAATAGCCACAAGAGCTTAGGG